TTGTGTTGTGGAGGGGGGGGGGGGTAAGGTGGTTGTAGTATGTGAAATACAAAGTTGTTGTGGTAAGTGATATGCATTATGTGTTGTATGTTTCTGTTTGAAGGTGTGTGTCTGTGTGTGTTTGCCTCTGCCTATCTGTCTCTGTCTGTTTTTTTCTCTCTCTCTCTTTCTTTCTCATCATCATCATCATCACCTCCATTTCCATTTTCATCTCCATTATCCCTCTTTCTCATTTCTCCATCTCTCCTTCTCTCTCTCTCTCTCCTCTCTTCCTTCCTCCCCCTTCTCCCCCCCTCTCCCCTCTCCTCCGATTATCCTCTCCCCTCTCCTCCCTTTCCTACCCCCTACCCCTTTTCCCTCTCCCCCCCTTTCCACCCTCTCTCCCCTCCCCCTTTCCCACCCTCTCCCCCCTTTCCCTCTCCCTCCCCTCCCCCCATCCTCTCCCCCTCTCTCCCTCCTCCCTCCTCCCCCCTACCCAACAAAAAACAACAAATACCTTTCAGAAACATCTCGCGAGAGAGAAAGAGGACGAGACCCATTCTGATTCCTGCAGGGAGACTTGTAATTGCGTCACAGGTCTTAATTGAGTTGTGCATTAAACATATGGGTTTGTCAGGCCAGACCGTTCGTTGTGTGTAGGGGATGTAATTCACGGCTTAAAAATGGAGGTTGAAATAATCTGGATATCAAAATAGCCTTTATTTTTGTTTGTCTTGTTTGTTTGTACTTTTAAATGTTGTGGTCGGGTTTGGTCTTTGTTGTGTGTTTAATGTCTTTGTTTTGATTATGTGATTGTAAGGAAACAGTGAATCAGTAAATTTGGGAATATTCGGGGGAAAAAATAGACAATTTTGCAAATGGGTGAAATATCGGTTTGTGATGATTTGAGTTTATCTATCTGTCTGTCTCTTTCTCTTTTTCTCTATTAAAAAATGCTTACTATCATTATCATTATTTTCGTTACCATTGTTGTTGTCATTATTATCATTACTATTATCATTATCATAATCATCATTATTGTTATTATTACAACCACATTATTACTATTTTCCCAATTATTATTATTACCATACTAGTCACTGATATAATTGTATTTGGTGGGATATATATTGCTTAATGTAATACAAAAGTGAACTACTTTCGAAGTTCAAGAGAATTTTTTCAAAGAATCACGAGAGAAACGAAATAAGACATGTTTGCAACATGTGAAGATAGCTTCAATAATCAGTAAGGAGTCTAGACAACGCTAACAAAAGAACATCAAGAAAGACAGGAGAAAGAACAGAAGACGATTGCGCGCCATCTATCTCACGAACTAGAACTAGAGAGAGAAAAATAGTTAGCCAGGGAAAAAGGAACGTCAAAATAGATCACAAACCTGCCACGAACGACACGGATCTTCGGTTTAGATCAGCTGTTCCCTACCTTCTTCTCCATTGCGTGACCTCCGACCAATCTGTATATAATCCCCATGGCCTCGTATGGGTGTAATGGCGTCAGTAACTATAGGACAAGAACACCCTATGGGAAGATTTATCGATATGTGAGAAATAATTATTTGTAGGTGGCTATCCTACAGCATATTATTGGAAAAAAGCAAACTCCTAGCGGCGACCTCACAGCCGAATGGTAGAACACTCGCCTGCCATTCGGGGGGGGGGGGGGGGCTGTAGGTGAGATAAAATTGAATTTGACGGAATTAATCTACATTGCCCCATGACCTAGGAAGTACCCCCATGGCCTCCCAGAAAAGTACCCATGGCCTCCTAGAAAAGTACCCCATGGCCTCCTAGAAAGTACCCCATGGCCTCCTAGAAAGTACCCCATGGCCTCCTAGAAAGTACCCCATGGCCTCCCTAGAAAGTTACCCCATGGCCTCCTAGAAAGTACCCCATGGCCTCCAGAAAGTACCCCATGGCCTCCCAGAAAGTACCCCATGGCCTCCCAGAAAGTACCCCATGGCCTCCTAGAAAGTACCCCATGGCCTCCTAGAAAGTCCCCCATGGCCTCCCGAAAGTACCCCATGGCCTCCTAGAAGTACCCATGGCCTCCTGAAAGTACCCCATGGCCTCCTAGAAAGTACCCATGGCCTCCTAGAAAAGTATGGCCTCCTAGAAAGTACCCCATGGAAAGTACCCCATGGCCTCCCAGAAAGTACCCCATGGCCTCCCAGAAAGTCCCCCATGGCCTCCTAGAAAGTACCCATGGCCTCCCAGAAAGTACCCATGGCCTCCAGAAAGTACCCCATGGCCTCCTAGAAAGTACCCCATGGCCTCCCAGAAAGTACCCCATGGCCTCCTAGAAAGTACCCCATGGCCTCCTAGAAAGTACCCGAAAGTACCCCATGGCCTCCTAGAAAGTCCCCATAAAGTACCCATTCCCAGAAAGTACCCATGGCCTCTAGAAAGTACCCCATGGCCTCCTAGAAAGTACCCCATGGCCTCCCGAAAGTACCCCATGGCCTCCTAGAAAGTACCCCATGGCCTCCTAGAAAGTACCCATGGCCTCCCAGAAAGTACCCCTGGCCTCCTTGGCCGAAAGTACCCCATGGCCTCCTAGAAAGTACCCTCCTAGAAAGTGGCCTCCTAGAAAGTACCCCATGGCCTCCTCGAAAGTACCCCATGGCCTCCCAGAAAGTACCCCATGGCCTCCCAGAAAGTACCCCATGGCCTCCCAGAAAGTACCCCATGGCCTCCCCCCATGGCCTCCCAGAAAGTACCCCATGGCCTCCTAGAAAGTGACCCCAGAAAGTACCCCCATGGCCTCCCAGAAAGTACCCCATGGCCTCCTAGAAAGTACCCATCCTAGAAAGTACCCCATGGCCTCCTAGAAAGTACCTCCATGGCCTCCTAGAAAGTACCCCATGGAAAGTACCCCATGGCCTCCAGAAAGTACCCCATGGCCTCCTAGAACCCCATGGCCTACCCATGGCCTCCTAGAAAGTACCCCATGGCCTCCTAGAAAGTACCCCATGGCCTCCTAGAAAGTACCCCATGGCCTCCTAGAAAGTACCCCATGGCCTCCTCGAAAGAACCCCATGGCCTCCTCGAAAGTACCCCATGGCCTCCCGACCCATGGCCTCAAAGTACCCCATGGCCTCCTAGAAAGTACCCCATTGGCCTCCTAGAAAGTACCCATGGCCTCCTAGAAAGTACCCCTGGCCTCCTAGAAGTACCCCATGGCCTCCTAGAAAGTACCCCATGGCCTCCTAGAAAGTAACCCATGGCCTCCATGGCCTCCTCGGCCTCCTAGAAAGTACCCCATGGCCTCCTAGAAAGTACCCCATGGCCTCCTAGAAAGTACCCCATGGCCTCCTAGAAAGTACCCCATGGCTCCAGAAAGTACCCCCATGGCCTCCTAAAACCCCAGGCCTCCTTACCCCATGGCCTCCTAGAAGTACCCCATGGCCTCCTAGAAAGTACCCCATGGCCTCCTAGAAACCCCATGGCCTCCCAGAAACCCCATGGCCTCCCAGAAAGTACCCCATGGCCTCCCAGAAAGTACCCCATGGCCTCCCTGAGAAAGTACCCAATGGCCTCCTAGAAAGTACCCATGGCCTCCTAGAAAGTACCCAATGGCCTCCCAGAAAGTACCCATGGCCTCCTAAGAAAGTACCCCATGGCTCCCTAGAAAGACCCCAGACCGTGACCTCCTAGAAAGTACCCATGGCCTCCTAGAAAGTCCCCATGGCCTCCCAGAAAGTACCCCATGGCCTCCTATAGAAAGTACCCCATGGCCTCCTTAGAAAGTACCCCATGGCCTCCTAGAACTAGAAAGTACCCATGGCCCTAGAAATACCCCATGGCCTCCCAGAAAGTCCCCATGGCTCCCAGAAAGTACCCCATGGCCTCCCAGAAGTACCCCATGGCCTCTCCTAGAAAGTACCCCATGGCCCCCCAGAAAGTAACCCCATGGCCTCCTAGAAAGTACCCCCCCAGGCCTTCCTAGAAAGTACCCCAGGAATACCCCATGCCTCCTAGAAAGTACCCCATGGCCTCCTAGAAAGTACCCCCTGGCCCTCTCCAGAAAGTACCCCATGGCCTCCTAGAAAGTACCCCATGGCCTCCTAGAAAGTACCTGGCCCCTACCAGGGGGTACTTTATGTCACCCTTGCTCTGGAGGTTCTCGAGCAGAGGTCCTGAAACTTTTTTTGGCTACGACCCAAAATTCTGTCCAGAGTGACCATGGCGATCCGGAAATCTTCATGAACACTCTTTTATCTAAGATTCAATTTCTAAAATATATGTGCTTGTAAAAACGTATTTTTATCTCAATCAAATTGTCTGTCTCGGTAATTTGCTTAGCCTTAATTATTGATGACTTGCACTTTGGCGATCCATTGAAATGACGGTGAGAATTGCCTCTAGAAGAGAGAAGAGAGCAGAGAGAGGAGCGAGAGAGGAGAAGAGGAGAGAGAGAGAGAGAGAGAGAGAGAGAGAGAGAGAGAGAGAGAGAGAAGAGAAAGAAAGAGAAAAGAGAGAAAGGAGAAGAGAAAGAGGAGAGAGGAGAGAGAGAGAGAAAAAAAGAGAGGAGAGAGAGCGAGAAAGAGAGAAAAGGAAATCAAAAGATAGATCTTTAATAAAAGTCGCCCTGAAGGAACCCCCGCGACACCTGCAGTTGACCTCTCAAGGCCGTATGTCGTCATATGTCGTCTCAAGGCCGTATGTCAGAAAGAAAGACAGAGAGAGAGAGAGAGAGAGAGAGAGAGAGGAGAGAACGAGAGAGAGATCGACTTGAGCCCAGAGGATTGCAGGCGAGTTGCAACTGCCGCGGCGGGGGATCGAACCCGGGACCATAAGGGTCGGAGTCCAGTCCTCTATCCACTGACTATCGTCAAGGCAATAAGGAAACATGTAAATCTTTATTTGAAAATGCATCATTTCGATGTAAGCGTGCAAGCAAGCGCGCATATTTCTTTGCGAGCGATAATGTGTGTGTGTGTGGGGGGCGTGTTGTGTGTCTCCTGAATTGTACATTGTGTTTTTTACTGATTCGAATGGTTTCACATCATATAAAATGTACAATGAGGCTTCTTGACATAGAATATACCAGAACGAATATATACCTATACCTCTTATAAAATAACAAGAGGTATAGGCCATCAAACACATTTAGTGATATCTTAAAAGATTAACCTGCCGGAGAAATGATCACTGTGTATTATGATTAATATGTTTGACGGAATCACCACATAGACTAGCATAATAATCAATATTGTTTATATAGAAAATACAGAATGAGAAATGCTGTTTATTAGAAAATCATTTTTCAATCTATTTTTTTTTTTAAACAGAGAGAACTTTTTTGCCATCATACGGGCTATCTTTTCTACGAAAATTCAAAGCTTTTTTCTTTGTCTCCCTCTGTCACCGAGAAAAGGATTATGAGGACAAGTATCAGAGCAGTGGATCCCAACCCTTTTCATTCCGTGGCCCCCGACCAATATATGATAATCTACAAGGCCCTGTTCATTGGCTATTTATCTTTTTGGATTCAGTTATTGCTAGTTATGAATAGTGTAACGTCAATAGTTTCTAGTTTATTGATATGAGATAGTTATATTTAAGAACTGTAGGTGAGGTAAAATTCAGTTAATTTGTCAGAATTTTCATTTTGTTCTTCCATTTTTTACGACTTCAGGAGGACTTAGGACCTCAAGCCAAATCCTTTTAACCCCATTGCTCGCTGAAGTCTGTAAATAGATGTAAACAAGACAGGACCTCTAAAGTAGCTTTCCATGGAGTTCTCTACAGTTTCTAATGACTTATATACATAGTTATGTTTGTGTACGTGTATATGCGACCTTACACGCCTCATACATAACACAATATCATTATACGATCATACGTAATAAATACCGGACCTTTGCATGAAGTTCTCTATAGTTTCTGACTTTTTTGTTGTGTCTGATAGGAGATCGACCCGAAAATTTATCTTTCTCTCTGTGTGATGAATTTTAAGCTAGTTGTCGCTGAGAATCTATTAAGAACGCGGGGAATGAATGCGGTGGGGAGCGTAATGAAGGAGAGGGAGAGAGAGGGAGAGGGAGAGGAGGAGAGAGGGAAGGGAGAGGAGGAGAGAAGGGAGGCGGAGGGGGGAGGGAGGGAGGGGAGAGGAGAGGGAGAGGGAGAGGAGAGAGAGAGAGAGAGAGGAGAGAGAGAGAGAGAGAGAGAGGAGAAGAGAGAGAGAGAGAGAGAGAGAGAGAGAAGAGAGAGAGAAAGACAGACAGACAGACAGCCAGATAGACCAGCAACAGACAACAACAAGCACGCAGGCAAGCAAAACCCAAACAGAAAGACCAAAAAAGACAGAACAAACAGAGACAGACACAAACAGAAGAGAAAAAAAAGACAATCGTCCCCCCCCACCCCACCCCCCTAAGCCTCTTCTTCTCCCACAGCGAATTCAGCTGAAATTCGATACAAACATCCTTGTCTCCCGCACATTTACCTTCGCTCTTCTTATTAATGGCGCCGCGAGAGTGTTAGAAATTGATGTAAATATCCGAGTCGAGTGACGCCGATGCAGCTAATTATCGATAGAAAAAAAAAAGGAAAACAAAATTGACAAAGTTGATCACCTTAATTTTTGTTAATTTGTCAGTTTCCTGGTTTTCTGGTCCCCCCCTCCCTCCCCCCCCCCGCCTCCGACTCGCCTCCTCCTGTTCTCTAAACGCTTTGTCTGTTTAGATAGATAGATAGATAGATAGATAGATAGATAGATGAATAGATAGATAGATAGACAGATAGATAGACAGACAGACAGACAGATAGATAGATAGAGAGATAGAGATAGATAGATGAATAGATAGACAGATAGCCATTTGTATATATATAATAGACAGATAGATAGATAGATAGATAGATAGACAGACAGATAGATAGATAAATAGAGAGATAGATAGATGAATAGATAGACAGATAGCCATACGTATATACACAGATGGACGGACGGAAGGATAGACAGACAAACATATATTTAAAGATAGATAGATAGATAGACAGGTGGGTAGGCAGATCAACATACGGATAGACACATGGTAAGCAAGAAAGGTAAATAAAATATATATATAAGAAATATATAAATATATAGGTAGACAGACTGATAGATAGATTGATAGATAATGGCAGATTGATAGACAGAATGAAAGATATATATAGATAGACCGCTAGATAGATAGATAGATAGTTACATAGTTATATAGATAGATCGATAGATAGATAAATAGATAGAGAGTATGTGGTTTATATGTGTGTACGTGTATATGCGACCTTACACACCTCATACACAACATAATATCATACGATCATACATAATAAAACACCAATAAAAAAAAAAAAAATACAAATCCTCACTTTCTTTTCTTTTTTTTTTCTTCTTTTTTTATTGATTCTTACCCGATTAACCCGAAGCAAATCAAGTCACGTGCTTCCGAAAGGCGAGTCATAATTGCAACACCGATTACCATATAGATAAAGAATTCGCGAACCGGCAACTGCGACGACCCGGGGTATCAAAATTGCTCCACATAATATCAACGTATTTTCGAAACCTCCGAGGCGTGGCTCCGAGAAGAGGGCAGCAGTGACAACTTAATTATCTCCGTGATGCTTTCATTTTGCAGGTCATAGCTTGCAACAGCGAATTTGCATAAAGCTCATCATTTGCCCGCGTCACATAAATGGGAGAAAGACGAGTATCAGATTGCGCCATTTTGTTCCAATTATTTCGGACGAGGTATGAAGGTTGCGCATTTAGAGATGCTTCTGTTTTTTGTTTTTTTTATATATGTTTAGTCTGTTTTTTTTTTTATACTTGATTGGTTAATTGATTAGAGTAATGTTCTTTGATTAGAATTGGATGTTTTTTAGGGGGTGGAATTTGGCTCGCTTTCAGTTGTTTATGTTGAGGTAGGTAGGCTGCGCATCCTGAGGTGCTTTTTTTTTTTTTTTTTAATAATTTTTTATACATATTTTTTTTATTTCTTATTATTGTTATTTATTATTCTTTATTATTTATTTTTATTTTTTTTTATTTTTTACATGATTTTGCTTACTGATTGTTTCTTTTTTTGTTTTGAGTTTTTATTTTTATTTCATTTATTTTTTTCCACCACTTGTTAAGATATATATTGCAATATTTCATATTTTGACATAGCTCCGGTTATGAAGGTTGCTTTTCAATAATTGTTATTGTTTTGTTAAATATATCTATTGTTTAATTCACTGATTTCTTTATATTCAAGTTTACCTTCGTTATAAGATCTTCCTAATTTGCTCTTAATTATCATTTTTTTTTGTTATTATTATTATCACTATTATCATTATCAATATCATTGTCATTGTTATTATTATTACTACGATTATTTTTACTCTTATTATTATTACTATTATTACTGTTATTGTTGTTTTTGTTGTTGTAATCATCATTATCACCATCGGCAGCAGCATCATAATTATTATTATCATTATCATTATTATTATAATACTACTACTACTACTACTACTACTAATAATAATAATAATAATAATAATAATTATTAT